AATTGGGCTACATTCTAGCTAGTTACAACAAGAACACTATCGTTACCTACCTTTAGATTAACTTTGAAATAATAATATACACCTTCTTGTTAATAAACCTTTTAAAGACTCTCCCAAATATCATTTTAAACACGTGATCACTTTTATCACGTGTTTTTGTAATATTAGGTTTAATACTCATCCTCACTTCAGAACTCGTACCAAAAAGGTAACAATACTTTATAAGATTAAAAAATAAATATTAAAAAAAATATTTATATATTAAAAAAATAAAATTAAAATAAATAATAATATAAATCAAGATAATATCTTATCTTATAATAATAATATTTTTAATAATTTTAAATAATTTTATATAAATAATAATATTAAAAATATTTTAAATATAATACTAAATAAAAATATTAATAATAATTAATAAAATAATAATTCTAAGATACTTCTATATAATTTAAATAAAGTATTTGAAATTATTAATAAGTATTTTAAAAAAATAAAAATATCTAACAAATTTATAAAATTTATTTTTAAAATTAAATCAAATTAAGATTTTTTTATTATAATTTCTTTAAATTAATAAAATTTAATATCAGATATACTTGATTTAAAGAGAAATCTTATTAATTTATTACTATATTTATTATATTACTCAAATCAAATTCTAATTATTATTAAGAGATATATAAAATATTCTAAATAATAAAAAGAAAATATTTTTAAATTTTATTATAATATATTTTAATTATATAATATAAAATAATTAGATTTAAAAAAAATTAGATAATTAATTATTAAGAAAATAAAGTAAAACTTATATTTTTATTAAAAGATATATCTATATAAAAAGTATTAAACTTATAATAATTTTAGAATAATAATATATTTTTATTTATTATAATTATTAAATAAAATATAAAAAATTAATATATTAACAGATTAATTTTTTATAAAGATAAAAAAATAAATTTAAAATAATATTAAAATTTAATATATAAAATATAAAAATTTATTATTAGTTTTATAAGAATAAATTTTTTAATTTAGAGATTTATATAATAGAATAAAAAATATTATTAAATATTAATATATATATATAATAAAATAACTTATATAATAAATCAAGCAAATTAGTTTTTATTAATAAAGTTATATTTTGAAAAATTAAACTTATAGAAAAAGAATTTATAATTCTTAATTATTTAAAAAATAATTTTATATAAGTCTTAAAGTTTCTAATATTATTAATTAAATATATTGATATTAAGAATATAACTGAAATTATTATAGATTTTATATTTAAAATAAATTAGAAAAGATTTGAACTCTTTGTAATAAATATAAATTATAATAGATATAATATATAAATAATATATTTATATCTTATTATATCAAAAAAGCTTAATATAATCCAAGAAATGATATAAAATATGAGTTAAAATATTATAAATATTCTTTATAATCTTTAATAAGAGAAATTATAGTTAGTATTTATTTTAATAGATAAAGATATAAAATAAATATCAATAATTAATAAGACTTGATTATGAATAATTAATATTTAACTTTATTATTAATATCATGAGCATGTAATTAATAAATAACTCAAAGACAAAAAGTTCAAAACAAACATATATTTAATAATCAAGATATTAAAAATTTATCATAAAATTTAACTTTATAGATCTATTATAAATTCAAGATATTATTTAAATAATTTTAGTAAAAAACTTTTAAAAAATATTCAAATATATATTTACTTATATCAGTAATCAAAGATTATTTTCTAATTTTAAAAGAGATTTATTATCTTTATGTTCAAGAAATATATTAATTTTGTCATTTATATAATTTTCTAAGATTATAAGATTATTTATAATCAAATTTAATTAAATTAATATAATAAAAAGAACTAGAAGTGATTTGTTTGATCTTTATATTTATTAGTATATTTTTTATACATATTACTATTATTATAAAAAGTTATTAATAAGTTTTAAAATATAATTATAATGAAAATTACATTTTTCTTTTAAGATAATATACATTCCAAAGAGACTGATGCAAGAATATCACAATAAATATTTAATCCAACATTAAAGAAAGATATCATTGATATTAATAACTGGATCTATTCTTGTCTAGTATACTTATAGTGTGATGACATAATTATTGTTTGCTCATTTTTGGAAGTGAAAAGCACTAGTTATTGCTCTGATAAATAATTCCTGAACCAGATAGTAGTCAAAAATGATTTTATTGAAGAAGGTAGCGCCAGCTCGAGCAACTTACAAAATATGTTAACTGTGATGTGATAAAGGAAAGACGAGCAAAACTTGTTCAATATAAAAAAACTTTGATGTTGTGTTGGCATTATATGAGCGGGAGATGAATAATGATGACTTTATTAGTAACTTTGATACCTTGATGATGCCATTGTGAAGGGTGCGAAGTATTACAAACTCGTACTCAATAGGATACTTGAAAATCAAAGAATGGAAAGAATAGAAAGCTTGCCTTTGGGTTATATTAAATTTTTTTTATTTTATTGAAGTGTTTTATTATTTTCTTGTTAAGACATTCGATATTTCTTAATTTTTAATTATAATGATTGCATCACACAATAGTTAACTAAACGAATTTGGTATCAATTTTTACCAATTAAAATATTCATGTAATTTACTTAAAATGGCAACATTAATATTTTTTTAGGCTTTTTTTAATGATAAAATGGGTGAGTCACTGTATTGTAAATTCGGATCCAAACCATTTTTAGCTTCTACAAAGAATGCTTGGTAGTTTTCTTTGAATATCCGGACTTCGGATATCCAAAGAAAAAGACCAAGCATTCTTTGTAGAAAACGCAACTTATCATTAATATTTAGCCAAGAGAAACACGTTATTTATATGATGCATAAAAGCGTGAAATTTCCGATGTTGCACCAAAATAAGTCACGGGAGGTATAAATTACATGAAGGACTGTATCATAAGATCAAGAAACTTCTTAATTGAAAACTATGACAAACAAGACCAATATTCCTTCAAATTTCGATTCACCACCGCCATACTCTGCGACAACTGAGCCAGAGCAATCAAGCTTAGTTCCGCGTGCTTTAGAAACATCACCACTTTATCCCAACGTTCCAAAGAACTCGTACAATAGCATTCCGAATTTATACTATCAACCTACGCCGCCGCCAATAGCAGATTCCTCTTCCTCTTCCGTCTCTGCCGCTGGTTATGCCCCGGACACCGTTATTCTACCAGCACCAGTTTCTCTACAGTCACTTCGCGACGAACCAACCGTGACTATATGTCCACATTGTAGGAATAGAGTGCTAAGTATAGTAAGCTACAAATCTGGCTCTGCTACTTGGTTAGCATCTTGCGGTTTGTTCGTTTTAGGCATCACTATGTGGGGATGTTGTCTATTTCCCTTTTGTAAGTTGTCTTTTTTTATCGTTTCCTTCTTGTAATTACATAATCTTTTCATACTAATTTTCTGATCATTTTATCTTACTGTTTTTTAGGCGTGAATGATTTGAAAGATTGTAAACATACTTGTCCTTGTTGTAGTAGAACCATGGCGACATATTCGCGATTGAATGGATCCATCGAAGTATATAGCTAGAACTGAACTGAAACTAGAAAAAACTAGAAAGTAGATGTCTTTCTTGTCTTAATCGACCATATGTTGTTAATTTATGATTTTTGCATTAAATATATAATTTTAATATAATATACATATATAATTTTATTCCAATATTCCGGCATGATTTCAACGAGAAAATATAAATTGAAAAATTATTGGCTGATTTTCCGAAAATACAATCATAAAAAACGTGTGCACGCTTAAAATTTATTTTTGTTGTAGAGAATTCCTTTCGACATAATCAACAAGCATGGCATTGAGAGTTCCAAAGAGTAGTTACCCGCAACTTTTTAAAGAAGGCTATAAAATTCAACAGGGGGTTGACGAGGCCGTTCTGCGAAATATTCAAGCGACACACGAACTGTCCGAAATTGTACGAACGTCTTTAGGCCCCAACGGTCGCAATAAGATGGTAATTAACCACCTTGAGAAACTATTTGTTACCAACGATGCTGCCACCATTATCCGCGAGCTGGAAGTTGTGCATCCGGCTGCCAAACTTTTGGTTATGGCGAGTCAACAACAAGAACAGGAGGTGAATGTTATTTACTATCTGATATTTTTGTTTGTCTATAAATTTTCCTCTTGTCAAGATGATGTTTCGATCCATCAAAGGTTGGCGACGCGACAAACTTTGTTATCGTGTTTGCCGGAGAATTACTTCAAAAGGCCGAGAATCTATTAAGAATGGGACTTCATCCAAGTGAAATCATACAAGGTTATGAATTAGCCAGGGACAAAGCACTTGAAATCCTGGAAGGTAAAAATCACACATCGCAGTAAATAGTTCAATCTTTATTCATAATTAAAAAACTAATTTACGTATTCAAGAACTCTCGGTGGAGACGGTCAAAGACCCAGGATCACCCGATGAACTATCAAAAGCCGTAAAAACAGCTATCGCAGCAAAGCAGTATGGCTATGAAGACATCTTGACCAATTTAGTGATTGAAGCTGCACTATCAATAATGCCCAAAAGTGCCAATGCATTTAACGTGGACAATATTCGGGTAGTTAAAATTATGGGGAGTAGCATTCATGAGAGTAAAGTGGTCAAGGGTATGGTATTTGGGCGTGAACCGGAAGGTGTTGTGCATAAAGCTCAAAAGGCCAAGGTCGCTATATATACGTGTCCATTGGATGCAGCGCAAACTGAAACTAAGGGCACTGTTCTGATTCATAATGCTCAAGAAATGTTAAATTTCACAAAAGGTGAAGAGAAGCATATGGAAAAGGTGAGCGAATGTAAATAGTTATTTGTGCCTCCATAACTTTTACTAAATTGTAATTTGATAAATCCTTTATTTATTAGATATATAAAGAAATCGCAGATGCTGGAGTAAAAGTTGTAGTTTCTGGTTCTTCAATCGGCGAACTTTCCCTACATTATCTAAATCGATTCGGTATATTGGCGGTTAAAGTTCTTTCTAAATTTGATTTACGTCGACTGTGTCGTGTTACCGGAGCTTCGGCTCTAGCACGATTAGGTGCTCCAACCCCTGAAGAAATGGGACATTGTGATATTGTGGAAACAGTTGAAATTGGTGGTGATCGAGTCACAGTTTTCCGACAAGGTATGTGATTTTTTTTCTTAATTTAATCACAAGTGATTACTGAGATGATATTTTAATTATTAGAGGACGAATCATCTAAAACCGCTACGATTGTGGTGCGAGGAGCAACGCAAAACCACTTGGATGACATTGAACGTGCTATC